CACACACGCGTGTGCACGCACACGTGCCTCAGGTCCTGGGCAGCTCCACTGCTCCTGGAGCCTTTTTCCTCCCTGCCTTAGACAGGCCCAGACACCAGCCCCTCCAGCAGCAGCAGCTCCAGCCCCCACTGGCACCAGACCAACTGTGCCACACACCCTTTGTCAGAAGCTACTGCCCAAGGCCTCCCAGCTCAAGGCTCCGCCTGGCTCTGGCTGTAGAGGACACAGGGAAGGCAAGCCCTGCCCCTCCTCCCTGAATTTGAACCCATGGGCCTCCCCTATCCCAGGCTTAGTATTTTGCTTCTCTTCTGCCTGACATCTTCCAGATGCCTTCCAAATCAGCCACCAGCCCTTCATTCTGAAAGTTCTGTTCCCTACTCTGAGTCTCTGTTTGCCTGGTGGCAGAGAGTTACAAGGGCTGCCCCATTGGTCCCCCACTACTCTACGTGATCCATGCAGCAATAGCCACACAAAGTTTTTCAGGGAGTTCTACATGCAGAACAAGAGTCTGTTAAGTCCATACCCTTCACTAAGGGATTCAAGGTTCCCGTTGTCTGGTTCGTATCAACCTCTGCTGGGGTCTGGAATACCCAGAGCTCTACAGTCTCCTCCAAACACACCAGGCTCCCTCCTGCCTCTAGGCCATGACCAACCCATGATCGAGTCTGGAGTGGTCTATCTCATGATGCACCCTCCGACTCTTTCCACAAGCTTAGGCATTCAGCTAGTCTGTCTCTGAGGACACATACCATCCTGTGGTCCCTTGTATTATGTTCCCTGACCCCTTTGTTTGCAGGTCTGCCTTCCTGTCTGGGCTTGGGTTCCCTAGAAGTGAATCCTGAGACAGAGTTGTGGGTTCAAGAGATTTCTTAAGGCAGGAGGATCTCAGGAGACATTAGTATATAATGAGGCAGGCAGGATAAAAAAGGCACATGGGGGAATTATTGTCAGGTAAAGTCTAGGTGGAGCCTGATTCAAGGGCTCTGCAACATAAACCACACTTCTAAGTGGTCCCCTGGGTGAGGAAGTAGCCTTTGTGTCCCTGTAGCAGCCAATCACTGGCTATGGAGTGGGAGGTTCATAACTTCTCAGGATTGGTGGCCATCATCAGCCAGGGGCGACTCACCAGACAAGGAGCAGATTGTGCAGCAGCAGTTATGAGACCTACAGTGGAAAGAAAAGATGGGAGAGGGAACTGCCCACACTGGCTCACCCCACACTGGCATCCCCCAGCTACATGAGCTACCCTGGGGAAACTTCCTGGCCACAGCCAGAGGGGGGATCGTTGCCACTGTAGGGAACTGGAAGGAACCTAGATATCCAATCTCCAGGGAAGGGATCTATGCGGAACCCTGCCCTACTCATGGAACTTCGGCTATGTTCCATGTAGATGGGAACTTTAGTCAAAGATCTCACCTATCCCTTATAATATCCATCTTACAGATAGAAAAACAGAGGCTCACAGGAGTGACAGGACTTCCACCTCTAAGTGGAAGAGCTGGCATTCAAATTAGTCTGAATGACTCACTGCCTAGTTTCTTCCCCCCAAAGCATGGAGAATCTGGTAGCTTAGTCATTCCTGCCCACTCTAAGAGGCTGGTGAGTCCAGGGTCTCTGTCCTGCAACTGTGCTCAGCTAAACTCAAATCCCCAAGGGTCACATCTGGCATTTGCAGTGGTTGGGAGGTCCACATATATACTTTGCATATAATTTGCATCATGGTTGCATCTGGTTTGCATATGTCCACACTGAGAACCCATCAGCACTGCACAGTTTTTAAATTGCTTCTAAGCCCTCTTACTCAATGGAAGACTACTGGACCTTTACAGAGTCCAGTTTCTATGATATCTGGACTCTCTGGGTTTCACCTTCAGACTGCATCTCTATCTCTCCTCTCCAGGATAGAAGAGGATACGTAAATAGCTGCCTTAGAAACTCATGTGGATTTGGGAGTCATTTGCTTTTTGATGATGATGATGCACTTGTAATAAAATGCTGAGTGAGCTCTGAGCATGCTGGGATTGCACACAGCACTACTGCACAGAACTTCCAAAGGTGGCCTCATGGGCAACGATGTGTACTCTTAGAAAGAGGAGACCTGTGAGGGTGGTGAACAGAACAAGGAGTGTGTGGAGCCTGTATCAGGGTTGATGGCACCACTATTTGGACTAAGGGACACAAGGGCTGATTTTTCTCTGAGCAGTGGGAGACTTATGTACCAGAAAGCTGGCAGAGTCAGTGCTTTCTATTTCTGTCTCTTTAGGAGAACTACATTCCATAATACTGTGTGTTCTTGTGTGGTGAGACCTCATTAAGAGAGGAGAGACACAGCCTAGGCAAAGCAGAAGGAGCCTAGAGCAGGGAGCAGAACCGTGATTTTGAGAAGCATGTGTTTGAGGTGCCAAGCAGCAGGGCTGCATGCTCACCACCAGGCGAACATCTTCCAAGGGCTCATTTTCAAATTTTTTTCTGCCCCTACGAGCTAATCCTTTCCTTCTGCCCCAGGATGCCCACAGAGGAAGGCAGAAAGTTTCAGGGTCCAGCAGAGGTTCTCTCATGTCTCCCCACTGGGTCAGTGATGGACTCTAAATGCAAGACTTTACTCCTGTGTCCATGCAGGAGGGTTGTGTCATCCTCCGATTTTCCTAAGGAGAGGCTGTAGTGACACTTCCCTGTCACAGGGGTAGTGAAGACTGTGACGGTGTGTGCATGTGTGCACATGAGTGGCAGTGCCGTGGAGGGTGGGCTGACTCTGTTCCTGTGTGTGGCCCCCTCGCCTGTCTCTATCCAGGTGGAGAAACTCCAGTGGAAGGCAGGGAGAACAGGACCGTCCGTCTCCCTCCCCTGCCGCCGGCCTCCCTAGGCTTCCTGTCTGGCAGATGCAAAGTGGCCTCATCATCCATGGGGAGACCCCAGGCTCTGGCTGCATCGAGCCAAGACCCCAAGCATCTCCCTGTGCTGACATCCTCCGCCTCCACCAGGATGGGGCCCAGGCCTGGCTCCCCAAACTGTTCCAATTAAACAGGGAACATGGTTTTGATGTCAGCCACCTGGGAAAGGGGGAGGTGGAGTCTAGCTGTCCTTCCAGCCCCCTGCTACATAGACATTTCCCACTTCAAGCAGGGTCCAGCCTCCTTCCTGTGAGTTGTGGGCCCCACATCTGGGGCTGGGGAAGGGAGTGAAAGGAAGGGGTGGGACCCCTTGGAAAAAGATCACAGCTTCTGGGGTGGGGGAGACTTCTCCCAAAGCCAGCTGGTGATGCTGCCAAGCAGTCAGAAACCAGCCTCTGAAGAGGATCCGGGCTCTATTCCTTTCCCCTCAGATATCTCTCTGCAAACCAGAAACTTGGTGGTTACAAGATCAAGAGCATGTTATGGATACTATGTATCTGCCCCCAGCAAAATGACTCATAGCATCTCTGTTAAGGGTTACAGAATAGAACATTCCAAGGGCGAGTAGGTAGGGTACAAGACTGTTTTAAGCATCATTCACTTGCCTAATCCATCCAAACTAGCTCAAATGGTAGATTATTGGAAGCAGACAGGGAAAGCCATGGCTTGTCACCAAATGACTATATATTTCAACCTGAGTTCCACGGTCCTGTCTCACCGCTCCTCTCCCCTGCCAACTCTCCTTCTCAGGTCCCTGCAGAGCCGTGGCTTCAGCGTGCCATGCTGTGTCCTCTCACTACCCTCAAAGGCCCTTGCAGTGGATTGAACAGAAGAACCCTGTCCTCCCAAATTCATACCCACTGGAATCCCAGCATGAAAACAGGATCTTTACCAATACAGTTACTTAACATAAGGTTAGGTTGGGCCCAAAATTCAACGACTATTATTCTTAAAGAACATACAATCACCGAAAGGAAACAGAGTGAAGGTGGCCACGTGAAGACAAAAGCAGAGATTAGAGGGACACCGGTACAAACCGAAGAAGTCCGAGGATTGGCAGGAGCCACCAGAAGCTGAAAGAGGAAAGCGGATTCTTCCCCAGAAGGGAAGGAAATATGGCCCAGCTAACACCTTTACTCTGATTTGTATCTTCCAGAATTGAGAGACAATAACTTTCTGTTGTTTTAAGCCTCTGACTTGTGGTTTTGACTACAACCCTAGGAAATTAATGAAATCCACACCTGGAAGCTGGATTCCCTTCAGCTTCCCTTCCACCATTTCAAAGCCCAGGAGAAAGGCTTTGGTCTGGTATGTGTACCCAGGAACTCACAAGCTGCTGAGGCGGGAAGCAGGGCAGGGCATGGAGGTGGGTTTCAGAGCTGCCCCTTCCAGTATCCCTGTACCATCACCTTACCCAAAAGCCGTTTCTTCACGTTTCTGAGTCGGATTAGAAAGGTCTTTGCAGGCAGGCCAGGAGTCCTGTGAATTCTGCGCACCAGCCAGACTCTGTGTGAAGACACATGGCTGTTGTCACCTGTGTAGATGAGACTAAAACAGGAAGTGCCACTCTGTTGAGAGAGAGTCAGGATTCAACAGGCACCTTGCAGATTAGAAGGTTAACAAGATCTGTTGAATGAGGGCAGCTACAAAGAACACTTCCAGGATACTAAGAATCAATCTCAAAAATAAAATGTGTAGGAAGCCTGGCTTAACACAGCCAAGACCTGAACGTTTTCGTCATCTATATACTCATAACAAACCAGAGCCAGAGCCCAGGAAGGGCAGTGGAGCATTCCCGTCGGAGGAGCCCTAGAGATGCCGGGGTTTGCATCCCTTATGGAGCCTGGAACAACACTGGTCCTGGGAGAAGCAGAGGGGCGGTGTGGCCACCAACCTGGGTTGCACAGGTTGGTGGGGAGAGGAGGCTACAGGGCTATCAGATCTCGCCCACACCCCCAAACAACCAGGAGTGAGGTGGCAGATGCAGCCAACCAACAGGGACCGCCTGGGGTCAGTTCCAAAAAGACGGTGGGGCGTGGTGTTGGTGCGCCCTAAAACACAACCATCCAGGGCCCCGGTCTCAGAGTGCACACGGACTTTTAAGACCAGAGTTTCTTGGCGCGCTGTACTCTGAGAGCCCCTTGCCCAGCCGACCCCAGGGCCGGCATCTCTGCCTCTCCTCCCGCATCCTTGAGACGGCGAGGTAGTAGCTGGGCGTGTCCGGGGGCCCTCCGAGGGCGCGGCGGCCCGCGCCCGCCACCCGGGAGCTGTCCCCTTCTTAACGCTTGCTTGCAGGCGGCCCCTTGGGCGCCAGCTCGGAGCTGGGGCAGGGGCTGGCGGTGGAGGAGGGGGCTGGCGGAGGAGAGCGGCGCGGGCCCAAGTTTATGCTAATCCGCGCAGAGCCCGCCTCCCGCCTCCCCTCTGCGGCCCCAGCCACGAGCAGCGCCGGCCACTCGGCGGGACGCAGCCACCGCTTAGCGCCGGGAAGCCGAGCGAGCGAGTTACGGGGGCCGCGAGTGGCCGTGGGAAGCCGGCCGGAGAGCGGAGGTGGCGGCGTGGCGGGCGGACACCCGCGGGGGCCACCGGCAGGGGCCAGGTGGAGCCGCGGTGGCCGCGATGGGTCGCCGCCGCCTGCCGGTCTGGCTGTGCGCCGTCGCGGCGCTGCTCTCGGGGGCGCAGGGCAAGGGCACGCCGCTCCTCGCTCGGCCTGTGCCGCCCAGCGCCGCCCGCTACAGCCTCTACACGACGGGATGGCGCCCCCGGCTGCGCCCGGGGCCGCACAAGTAAGCGCGGGCCGAGCGCGGCGGGAAGCGGGAGGTCGGGGCTCACGCTGCGCGCCGCCGCTCCCACCTGCCCAGACCCCGGTGGGCCATCGAGGCCGGGGCGTGGGGCGGCTGTGCCCGGACGGAGCCCTTGGCGGAGCGGGCGCGCCGTGCTCCAGGAGGCTGCGGGGCTGGCGAAGAAAACTAAATTGAGGGGGCCTGGCGCGGCGGCTGGGATCCTGGCAGTGCCCGCGGAAACCTTTCCAGTGAAGTAACATTTTCCAGCTGCGCCGAGTGCAAACTGTGGGCTCAGCGGGCCAGGTGGAGGGAGCCGAGCGAGGGCGGTCTGCCTGGGAGCACGCGGGCAGCACGCGGGGCTCCCCCGTGCCGCCGAGGCTTCCCGTCTCTCTGCCGGTCAGGGTAGGAGGTGGAACCGTGCACCCGGATCTCCGCCCCTTCTCCTGAGGCGACCCAGGTCCTAGCAACTCCTAAGGAACCCCAAGCTGGTTGGAGGTCATGGAGCTGCTGGAATCGCCACAGGCCTGGCCCATTTTTCTGAAAGTGGCAGGTGGCCTCAGTGGTCCCCTCAAGCCCTTTGGGAGGTGTTGGGAGAGTGCCTGTCCGTAGCCAACACACAGTGTGCTAGGGCACATCAGACAGCGCAGGCTTCCTGGAGGAGGCGTGCAAGACCTGGTCTAAGTGAGAAAAAAAATGTGCATCAGGGGAGAAAAGAGGACGAGTCTGGTCTCAAAGAAGCCACTCAGTTGAGATCTCAGAACTTCACAGGCAAAGATGAGGCATTTGGAACCAGTGAAGGTGGTGGAGGGCGGGAGGTGTGGCAGGCGCCTGAGGGAAAATCCAGGGTGGTCTCTTCCTGGGAGGGCAGCCAGACCAAGGTTCTGATTTGGTATGGCTCGGGGCCCAGTGGCACCCAGGGATCAGAATGTCAGCAGTGGAGCTGGGCCTGGCCCAGAATACTCTGGATTGCAGGTGAGGGCCCTGACTTGCAGGGATAAGGAGAAAAGAGGAAAGAAATGGGACTCTGGTCCCCCCTGCTGAGACAAACAGGTGGAGGAAAGAGGATAGGGGTGCCATTGGGCCTGACTCAGGCCAGATAATCCAGGCCACTTTGCCTTGTAGGGCCCTCTGTGCCTATGTTGTGCACAGGAATGTGACCTGCATCCTACAGGAGGGAGCAGAGCGCTACATAAAGGCTGAGTTCCGGCAGTGTGGATGGGGGCCCAAGTGCCCTGGGACAGTCACGTGAGTTCACCCCTGTGATGTGCTTGGGATCCCAGTGCACAAGCCCCATTTCTGGCTTTAGCTGGTAGCAAAGTCACCTCTACTGAAGTTCCAGAACTCCAGACATCTCACCTGAGCCCAAGTGGGCCAGGGCCACAGATCCCCTAGGTTTTGAAGTTATGGCAGGGGATCAGCCACAGAAGGATGAGGGGCAAGGGAAGTAGGAGCCAGCTAGGAGGAAGGGACAGAGGCAGTGGGTGGGAGAGGGAGAGAACCAAGGGTCACTTGGGCAATGGTTGATACCACAAGGGGGCCAGGACAGATGCAGGGAGAGCTGTGGTGACCATAAGAAGGGGGCCTAAGGGTGAGAGGTGGGATCCAGAGTGCTGGGGCTTAGGCCAGAAAGGCAAGCTGCATGGAGGGGGTTGTTACACAGAGACATGATGCATGGATTTGCACTTGGAGAGGTCCAAGTGTGTGTCTGGAAACAGAGCTCCACTAGGTCAGTGGGTGAGCAGGTGAGGCAGGGCCCCTGGTGAGCTTTTCCTGTATCTTTAGGTCTTCCCTCTCCACTGAAAATCAGAGGTGCCTTCCTGCCAGCCTGTGACCAGAGCTGGATTCCTAGAGTAGGCTAAGAGGAGTGGAAGGAACTACAGAGGGGCTCGTGGGAGTCAAAAATGGCTGCAAGGCAGTGGAAGGGACCACTAGCCGCAGGTCCAGGGTAATCTGTTCCCATCCACAAGGGAGGGCTTGGAGTTTTGTTCCCTAAGGTACTACTTTGAGCCCCAGTGGAATTTCTTGTGGCAACATGAACTAAAGAGGGCCCATGTGGTCTTGGGAGGATTGGAGCTAAATCTTTGCCAGCCTCCTTTCCAAACCAACAGGATGGATGGGGCTTCTAACCGGATCCTCCACTCAGAGCCTCAGGGCCCCTGAAAGGCCTGCTGCACCCCACTCTCTCTCACCTTCAGCATCTAAAAGGGAAAACTCTTAGGGTGGTGTGGAGGGGGGGAAAGAAACAAACTTTATGCCGGCATCTGAGGTTGACCCCAAGTGCCAGCCAGAGGACAGGACTCAGCCTACAGGTGTAAGATCTCGCTCTCTCTCCCTGGCTCAGGTACCGCACGGTGCTCAGACCCAAATACAAGGTTGGCTACAAGACAGTGACAGATCTCACCTGGCGCTGCTGCCCTGGCCTCACTGGAGAAAGCTGCCCCGAGCACCTCACGGATCACGGGGCCGCCCCACCCCAGCTGAATCTTGAACCCCAGATTCCCTCAGGGCAGGTGGGCTCAGGTCCGAGGCCCCCTCCTTACAGCCAAGCGGCCCCCAGTCCCCATGGTGAGTCCAACTCTGGATACCCTCCAAGGTGCCCAGGTTTCTTGGGCTCAGTGACAAGGACAGGGAGGGGACTGACCCAGGCTCCCGAGCTCTGGCAGGGTTGGGGAGGGTTTGTCTTCCATGAGTATGCTGGTGCAAAGTTGTGCCCAGTGAAAATGTAGGCCTAGAATAAGAAGCCTCTCGGGTGGCCTGGGCACACAATGCCCCGAGAGGGCCAGCCCAGTGATGCTCCTGGTGTCTCTCATCCTCTTTTCCAGGAAGGAAAGGTCTAGGGCTGTTTGGTGAGCGCTTGGAACGCCTAGAAGGTGATGTTCAGCGCCTGGCACAAGCATATAGTACCCTCAGTGGCCTGGTGGCCAGCCATGAGGACCCCAACAAGCTAACTGGGGTCCCCAGGGCTCCTGCTGCCTCTGTGGGCTTTGCGGCCATCCCTGAGGGGCATGTGGATCCAGGAGACAGAGCAAGAGGACCACTCACACCTCCCTTTGGTGAGATCCTGAGCAAGGTAACAGAAGTGAGCAACACGCTGCGGAGCAAGGTGCAGCTGCTGAATGAGGTGCACGGACTCGCCCTTGGCCACGAGGCCCACCTGCAGCAGCTGCGGGAAGCCCCGCCATCCCCGCTGACCTCCTTGGCACTACTGGAGGAATATGTGGACCAGCGGCTGCAGCGACTCTGGGGGAGCCTGCTGGACGGCTTTGAGCAGAAGCTGCAAGGCATCCAGAGTGAGTGCGACCTGCGGGTGCAGGAGGTGCGGCGACAGTGTGAGGAGGGCCAGGCGGCCAGCCTGCGGCTACACCAGAGCCTTGATGGCCGGGAGCTGGCCCTGCGCCGGGAGCTGGCCCAGCTGGGCACTCAGCTGCAAGGCTTGAGTGTGGCTGGTGGGGGCAGTTGCTGCAGTCAGCTGGCCCTGATCAGTGCCCGTGTGCAGAGCCTTGAGAAGAACCTGAAGGCCGTTGTAGAGGCCCACAAGGTCCCCAGTGCTCCAGCCAGGGATCAGCTTGAACATCTCTCTGCTGCCATGCTTGACGGAGGCGTGGATGGGCAGGGCTTAGAGACCTTGCTTGAGGGCCTAGAGACCCTCAATGGGACAGAGAGTGGAGTGAGGAGCTGCTGTCTGAGGATGGAGATGGGGGGCTGGGGTGTAGGTGGCTTTGGGTCCATGTTGGAAGAGCGTGTGCAAAACCTAGAGGAGCGCCTGGCAACATTAATCGGACAGCTAAACCACGACAGTGTCCCACTGGGCAGGTCTGTGCGGCCCCTCGTGCCTACAGAGCTGGCCGTGCTAGAACAACGACTGGTCTCCTTGGAGACCTCATGCACCCCCAGTACCATTTCAGCCACCCTGGACAACCTCGTGTCAGAGGTAAAGGCCTGGCAGAGCCGGAGCGAGGCCCTCCTACACCAGGTGGCCAGCCACACAGCTCTGCTACAGCAGCTCAATGGCACGGTGGCTGAAGTCCAGGGGCAGCTGGCAGAAGGGACGGGCAGTTCACTCCAGGGTGAAATCACTCTCCTGAAGGTCAACCTGAACTCAGTGAGCAAGTCGCTCACAGGCCTCAGTGACTCCGTCAGCCAGTACTCTGATGCCTTCTTAGCTGCCAACACATCCCTGGATGAACGGGAACGCAAGGTGGAGGCTGAAGTCCACAGCATCCAGGAGCAGGTCAGCAGCCAGGGCTCAAGGCTCCAGGCTGGCCACAGGCAGGTCCTGAACCTGCGGGGGGAGCTGGCACATCTCAAGGCTGGTATGGCCAATGTGGCCAGGGGGCTGAGCCGCTGCCAGGACACAGCCCAGGAACTCCAGCGTGCTGTGGGCCACTTCGATCAGCGGGTAGCACAAGTGGAGGGTGTATGTAGGAGGCTCAGCCTGCTGGCTGCCAGCCTGGACAGCTTGCCCACCGAGCCGCTTAGGTTGAAGGAGGGCCTGTGGGGCCACATGGACCAGCTGAATCGCACGCTAGCCCAGCACACAGAGGATATCGCCCGCCTCCGAGATGACCTGCTGGACTGCCGGGCCCAGTTGGCTGAGCAGGCAAGGCTAGGGCGAGCCGGCTAAGCAGGCTGGAGAGGATCCCAGTCCCAGATCACCTCAACCCTGGGGACATCATCCCAGAGCCCAATCTTACCCAGTTGCACATCCCAGCCTCCCTGGACCAACCCAGTTGCCACTTTAGAGGCCACTGGACCAATGGTTGTAGTCCAGCTTTGTATGACTGTCCTGGTCATCAGAGCAGCACAAACTAGACAATGCAGGATAGCAATCGAGGCGAGGATGTCATGCGTGAAAGCTAGGATGGACTTCAGAGAACACACATTCCATGGTCTGCAACTTGCTTTTTTAGACACATGAGTTAGCAATTGCGTAAGTCCTCCATGCCGGTTGTCAGACAGGAGCCTGTCCACAGCTCCCTTTGCACTACAAGGGGTTGTGTCAGCCCTTGGAGAGTTCTGTTGCCTTGTCTCTTGGCTTCTACCCATAGCCATCTGGATGAGGGTTCTTTTTTTTTTTTTTTTTTTGGATGAGGGTTCTGCAGGAAAGTGATCCCCACTGGAACTATCCTCACACCCGGCAGCTTCATGGATGCCATTTCTGAACCAAGGACCAGAAGCCACTAGAGGTTTTCAGCTCCCCACACATCCTTCAGAGCTAAATGGAAGCACAGAGACCCAAATGAGAGTTTTCTTTATGTTTTTGCTCCTCCCTTAAGGTGAGGGTTCAGGCAGCTGTAGATTTTTAGCAAAGAGTTAGATCTAGACAATCTGGAGACCCCAGTTTATTTTTTTCCTTTCCCAAAGACATTTTCAGGGCACCGGTCCTCTTCTTCCTAGTTGGGGAAAAAATCACTTCTGTTTCCCCAGGTCAGTACCTCTGTCCTAAGTGTAGCCTAAAAGAAGCCAGACCCTGAGAAAGCCATAGCTGGAGAAAAAGGGGCCAGGCCTTGCTTTTAACACCCTTACAAAACCCCAGTCCTGCCAAGATGATCACAAAGTGGTAAGAAATTCAGGTATGAAACCACCAAGGCACAAATGGAAAAATGCAAGTGTTCCTGAGGCCCGTGCAGTTCCCACCTGTACTGAGGCTGTCAGCCCTGGTTTCCCTCACAGTCGCTTGGGCCTCCTGTGTCCTTGGCAGGACCCCACAGCCCTGCCTTCTGGTTTCTGAACATTTGGTGCTATGCCCTCCACTCTGGTGCTGTGGGAGGAGGGCAGGATCTGGATTAAAGCTTTCAGCCAGTCTACAGGTGTTATTTTTTCATCAAAGGCAGTGTGAGGGAAGGCTGCTGGGGGTGTTGCCCTGCACCTCAGACGAGACCTCTCAGCAGCTGCACACTGCACTTCTCTGAAGTGGTCAGCAAACACCACCTGCCATGGCCAGGTTTGAGTCTGAGCCCTTAAGGAACATGCTAAGTGGATTGGGGCAGGGCCCAGGCATCAGTGGGGCAAGCAGAAGCCACATTCCCTCAGTCCTCATGGGACCCGAGTCTCTCTCCCTGATTTCAGAGGCTCCCTGGAGCATCCAGACTTGGGGCTGTTACCAGGGCACACTGAGGGGAAGCAGGGCTGCCTGGCTTAGGAGCTGGGGGCAGGGGTATGGAGGAGTTGCTTTTCAGAGTACAGGGTCCCAGAAGAGTATGACTTGAGCGCCGTGTTCTTTCCTGATGGCACTCAGCCTTGCCCTGCTGCCACTGACACTCTCTTCCCTGTGCATATGGGCCTCAAGTCTTAGCAGGGCATTCTTCTCTCTAACCTGTTGAGCTGAGGTCAAGTCCCAGAGTGGCGGGAATGACAGACACATCAAACACAAACCCTGGAAGGGCTTAGGTGACAAAGTCTTTGCTTTTTCAGTGCTGGAAATGGAATTTAGGGTCTTATACTTGCTAAGATATATCTTCAAACTTTTTTTGTGACAGTATTGTAATGCAGGCTGGCCTTGAGCTCACTTTGCAGCCCAAACTGGTCTTGAACTTACAACAATCCTCCTGCCTCAGCCTCCTGAGTGCCGAGATTAAGGGGGTGCATCACCAAGCCTGGCACCCTTTTTTTAGACAAGGTCTTACTAAATTGCCCAGGCTGAACTCACTTGCAATCTTCCTGTCTCAGCCTCCCAAACAGCTGGGATTACAGGAGTGTGCCAGTATGCCAGGCAGTAGCATGCTACAGGTCGAGACCACACTGCGATCTAGAACCTATTGCAACTGGCTTCCCAACCCTTTGCACCTCTAGACACCCAGTCCCAGAGCAGGCAGCAGGGAGGGGCTGCCAGGGGTGGCTCAAACCAGGGCATCAAGGTCCACAGCAGGCAGTGGCTGCCGCCAGTAGCAGAAGTTGCTGTACTCGGGGTTGGTCAGGTCTGTGCTGGGGCCTCGGGCCACAGGTGGAAAGAAGAGCTCAACCACCTCACTAAGCCGGTCATACCTGCAGGCAGAACAGGGTGGCGTTGAGGGCCTGAGTCATTGTTAGACCTTAGCCCCTGCCGCAGTAGATGAGGGCTCAGGATCCAAGGAGAGGAATAAAGTTGAGGCCCAAGAGGGACCAAGGCAGAGGTCAGGGGCCATGTGCCAGGGTTTGGTCTCACGTGGATTTGTGGTTTTTCATGAGCTCCTGGATGAGTTCTCCCCGGGGATTGACTGAGAAGATTCGAGATTCAGGTAGGCCTACCTGTCGATAGGCAAAGACATCCTGTGGGGAACAAGGAGGACACGGTGGTAAAACAGGCTCCTGGGAGCTGGGGGAGGGGCTCAGCCTCGGGTTAGGGGGCACACTCACATTGGGTCTATTTCCAAAGGCAGCATAGAAGGGCTGGCCATGGGGCAGAAAGAGCTGCTGGATGTCACTCAGGCAGGCGACCTTGAATACCTCTGGCTTCTTCTCAATCACCTCCCTGCAGTAGCCATGGCCACAGGCAGGAAAGGGTCAGAGGAGGGGCAGCAACCAGAGGGGGCAGAGTCAGGTGACAGCCCCAGTCCACCTGGGAACAAACGCTAGACTGGGCTGGCCATGCATCTGTCCCTCCCCGCAAGGACCCTGGGCTTGAGTAGGGGGCAGTTACCTGTGGAAGGCGGAGAAGAGGCTGCTGGGAGACAGCAGGATGGGGCCCATGGGGAGGCCGCAGCCACCCTCGCTCACCCACTGCAGGTACCCCTTGGTGAGGTCAGCCATGCCGATGGCCCGCGCGGAGCAGTAGAGGAACTTGTACCCATTTCTGTGGGAGGGGATGAGGTGGCCCAGTGCTGTCAGAGACTTGCCACTCCTACCCCACCCCTTGGCTTTGGCCAGCCTAACCCTATGGTTCTGGCCTTCAAGTCCAGAGGGCTTTGCAGGGAGGAGACTTAAGGAAAATGGCAAGATCAGGCCTGAAAGAGATGGCCTCAATTGCTGTCCCTGCTAGGAGCAGCTCGGGGGGGCCCTGCCTCAGTCCCATCCCAGCACTCACAGGTGGATTTTGTGGTAGAGACTAATGATGCCTTGATGTGTCCAATCTTTCCCCAGCTGGGGCAGAATGTGACCCAGAGCATCCGACCTGCAGTCAGAAAGGAAAGGCCACTCTGAGGCTGAGCCACATGGCCCTCATGCTCCATGGGCATGGCCCAATAGGCCCAGCTGCAGCCCCAGGCTGGCCTGCTGGGAAGGGAGGGCCTCCCGCACAGTCCCCTGCCTCTCCACACACCCAACACAGAAAGGGGTGAGTCTCCAGACCCTCCCCGCCCTCCTTGTGGTCAGCAGGGCCTCACTTGGTAATGGTGCCATCGATGTCAGAGATGATCACCTTGTCGTCCCATTTCCACAGGTAGATGGTGGCCTTGCAGCGGCAGGTGCCCTGGTACTGGGTGGTCACACTGAAGACCACATCATTGGCACCTTCATGCAAGTTCAGGCGCCACTGGGGCCAAGCAAAGGGGTGAGGGGATTGTGATCTGCCATGGCCAGGCATTATCTACCTCTTTCCACCCAGACTGTGGCCTCTCATTCTCTTCCTCCTCCCAGTTCAGAGGCCATTCGTAAAAGGTCCAAAGACAGATGCACACAGACCCACATGGGTAGAGAGTATCTATGCTGATCTGGGCTCTGCACAGGGCTGGCATAGGAGCCCTGACCCCACCACCACCTTTTCTCTCTTAGGATGTGAATCTCAAGACAAGCCAAATCTGTGACTCCCTTTCCAGGTTTCCAGGACAATCCCAATGCTTGGGCTGTTCTTAGAGGGAGACACCCCATTCTATATATGGGGCCCCCTGTGGGATCATCACAGGAAGCCTCTGCTGGAGCTAGGGTACTCGACTGAACATTTCTTTAAAGAGACCTCTTCCTCTATGTGGGCCATACAGGATGAGGGAAGCAGCTGTCTACCAAAGCCAGGTAACTTCCAACCCCTGGCCAATGCCAAGGTGAAACTGAGCCCCAGAGTACCAGATCGATGGTAGCTACCGTGTACCAGACTGGTCAGACCTTCCTGGACATTTCCAACATGGGTGCCACACTCAAGAGGAAAACTTCTTACTGCAGGAGCCACTGGTTACAAGCTTAGGAAACTATAGCTTGGAGGATGGGGGTTGCCCAAATCAGAAGGGCTGTTATCAGCGTTTGTTTCTTTTGGTTCCAAGGGCACACCCAGAACCAGCTTATTCACTGCAGGTAGATGTCTCAGTGAAAGCATTTGACAAAGATATGGGTTGGTATAGAAGAAGTGAGGGCCCTGTCTCTGTCGGTATTCAAGTAGAAGCTGTTAGGGAGTATGCCCAGAGCACGGATGCTGGCCTTTGGTGACCTGTGCCTTAGCGTGGCCCTGAAAGGCTGGCACACTTACAATCTGATCAGAAGAGAGACGGAGGGACTTCTTGTAGGTTGGAGTGTAGGCTGGGGTTGAAGGTGGTGGGGAGAGGGCCTCCAGGATCACAGGGATGTCTAGGGTATCATCATCACTGCTTAGGACTTCAGTCTTCTCCCTGCAGGCAGCACCCACACTCAGGCCACCTCCCCAGCAGAAGACACATCATATGAAGTAGATGTTTACTCTCAACCCAGCCTATGAGCAACCTGGGGCTTGTCCCGGTCCTTCCAAAGACTACCTTCCCCTCTAACGGCCACCATGGGAGCAGGGCAGACACTGGTGCTGGCTGGTTATGTCCAGATTCAGGACCTGCCCTGGAGCTGTTTACCTAAAACACCTAACATGCATCTTAGGACTTATTCCTAGTGCCATGCTTTGGTGTCAGCCAGTCCATCCTTGGTCAAGCACCACCCAACCTCAGATGGCTAGGTCACTTTGGAGGTGAAAAAAGGAAGCCAAGTCATCCAACCCCTGCATCCAGGCTGCAGAGAGAGAGAGGCCTCACCTCTCCTTAACAGTGGCAGCTGCATGTCCAGGCCAGGAGTCTGAGCACCTGTTCCAGCTCCCCATTTCCTGGCTAGGGGACATCTACTATGTCTCTAAATCTCAGTTTTCCCATCTGTGCAGTATGGACAAGTCTCAGGCAAGTGAAGGACTTGAGGAGAAGCAACCACAGCTGGAGAAGGGGCACTGCCCCATGTCCTCTGCTCCCTATCGTCCTCCTCCCCAGATCCAGCTGCAGAGCCCTGCCAGGAGCTCCAACTCACCCCTGCTGCTCCCTGGCTGTCGAGTTCTCCCTGTGGACACCATGCTGTGAAGGAACATCCATCAGAGTTCTGCCTCTTATCCTGTGCTTGCCCCGCCTCGTGTCCATGACCACCCACCTCCTCTGCTGAGAAATCCCTTCGTCGCCAGGAAAACCACCACCGTCCACCCTTCCGAGGCATCTTCTCCTTCTCCAGCTTGTCCACGGCGCTCTGTGGGCAGATGGAGGCTATGGCAGTATTCTTTCTGCACCCCACAAATCTTCCTTTCATTGCATATGGGTCCCCCTTGAATCTAGAGTCAGGATCAACCCTGAATAAATGCACTGTCACCATCCACAGGCTGAGGAGTCACGTTTACCTGCCGTCAGGAATTCCATGGGTGACTCATGAAGCTGTGCACAGGAGACTAGGGCCATGCCTGCTCCTCAGCCCTGCCCTCCTAACTCCAGCCCGGACCCCTCTTGGCCACCAAATACAAGTCAGCTCCTGCACAGAGTAGCTGAAGGAAGTGCTGCTCTGGGAGTTTCTCAAAAACTGGTATTCCATGCAGGATGCTGGATAAGACAGGAGAGCCAACCAAAGGAGGGGCAGTCTGCCTTCTCAGAAGGTAGATAGTGTCACATAAAGGAGGTACTAGCTGTCAGCATCTGATTGGTAAAGCTCTTTGGCTAAGCCTAACCTAACCAAAAACAGTGATTCATGCCAGAGTGGAGCCCTAGAAAGCTCCCAAAAGGGACAGACACAGGCTGGCAATGCCCAATAAGGCACTGTCCTCTGAATGAGGGGCCAGTGGCCCAGGAGGGCCAGGTAGAGCTTGTGGAAGAGAATCAAGAGGCTGGGCCTTTTCCACCTCTGGGCATCTGTACATGCTATTCCCTTCTCCAAACTTCTCAGGGTATGCTCACCCTCCAGTCTGCCCATGGAGCACAGGTTCAGTAACCCACCCTCCATAACAGGCTCTTAGAGCACCCCAGGCCTCTCCTTCCCAGAGCTCAGCTGAATTTTATACTGATCTAGGTGATTTCTTTAATTAACTCCGTCTTCCTAGCGGGTGGGACAGTTTCTGTGTGGTTCATGACTGCTTCCAGTCTGGGTCTAGCACATAGCAGGTGTTTAACAAATGTGTGCTGATTAATCTAGTAAGCACCCCTCAGCCCTGCCAGGAAAAGTAGTCTTAGGTAAAGGTTGGGACCTGTCTCCCTTCAGACCCAAAATCTCCCTATTGGAGGCATGTCCTAGGTTAGGCATCTATTGGATGTTTATGACCCTCTGGTTTGTCCTGAGACCCTCTGAAATAAAGTCCAAGTCCAGTAGGATCCACCATGGCCAGGAAACCTGGAAAGGTGGAGCTTTGCACACATGAGATATGAGTAGGTTTGGGGACCTCCGTCTCCCCTCTCTGAGTCAATCTTGCAGCCAGCAGCTGCAGATCCCAGGCTCATCTCTTCACTTGTTTGCTAAGGGCCCCTCAATTCCAAGCTATAGCCTCAGTGGTGTTCTAACCATTACCTTGGGTAGGTTCTTCTGGAAAGCTTGCATGCAGAGGACCATGGGGGCAGCCACAGCCCAGTTATAGTGCCTAGAGAGACACGATGGGTGTTGAAGTCACAGTGGGTGACTCTGGGCCACCAGCAGCCCCAGCCTCCTACTTACTTCTCATTGATTTTCACCACTAGGTTTGGGTCATCCAGGAGCCCAGGGTTTTTGGTGAGATCCTGGTAGGAGACGATGTGCTGGTTGAATTTCTCTGGGCACAGAGAACGAAGGATGAGCCTGGTATACTCCATGTGACCTGCTATCTCCCTCTAACTACAGCTTCCCATGCTCCACCACACATCTGGCAGGGGTCCTCCCTATCTGGGTTTGACATCTGCTCCCACCCTGGGAATTACAGGAAAGTCACAGCTTTGGGGCAAGCATGTGCTTCTCCGGTACTTGGGAATGGCCAGCACAGCTGGGCAGAGGATGGCAGGGAAGCTGCCCTCGCCTTGTCTCCTCAGTAGGTCTCTCCTGCTGTCGCCTGTCCTTTGGGCTCCATACTGATCCTTGGGAGGGCTCCATTCTTGGTCAAACATACCCTGGGATATGTTCCGGCTGTCAGCCAATCCACCACAGAGGGACAGTGCTATGACGCTGGCTGAGTCGGGCGTGGATTCTGGTACATGTTCAGAGCTGGGGTTCCCCAGGAGCTTCTGGCTGCAGGGTTCACTCCACCTCCTAGCTCCCAGCCCACAGTTGCTGGGGGCAAAGGTGTTGACAATGATATAAATACAAAGAAGAAATGGGTTCCCACTCTTCCCAGTCTCTTGACATGGACCTTTGGCCCCCAGGGGCCTTGGCACCTAAAACCCAGCACCTTTGAGGGAAGTAAAGAGCTGCATCCTCAGAGTCTAGGAAGGATAAATCATCCAGGTAGATGTCACTGTGGCCCAAGTGCTGGCTTTTCTTCAAAGAGCCTAAGGACAGAGGAAGGGCACATGCCAGTAGTTATGAACAGCAATGTCCCCTTGCCTTGTGACTCCCCAGCCAGTGTTGTCCAATAGAAATTTCTGCCATGATAGAAATGGTCCATGTCTGTACTGTCCAATGTGGTAGCCACTAGCCATTCATGGCTACTGAAAACCCTTAAAACAGGGTTGATGTGAGACAGAGAAACTATATGTACATATAATGTTTTTCAAACTGGAGATTGAACCCAGGACATGGATCTGTATCCACACCAATTTTTTATCTTTTGAGTCTCACTAAGTTGCCCAAGCTGGGTTCAAGCTTTTGATTCTCCTGTCTTATCCTCTCAGAATGCTGGGACCATGATGTACCATCATGCCTGGCTTGTTTAATTTTTAAAAACTACATAAAAGCCAGTGGCTATTGATTTGGGTGGTGCAGGCCAAGAACCTTCCACCACTCTTAAGTAAATCCAAGCCTATGAGCTGGAAATGGTCCATCTCTTCTCACTTCCTAGACTTCTTATAACAATCTTCTTCCCCTCCTCACTCAAGACTTACCAACCATCCTTCCTAGACAGGAAACCTCACTCCTGCCTGGGAGCCCTGACTCACGCTGTTTCCTCTGCCTAGGATTTGCCTGCTCCTTGCTTGGCCAGATCTTTATCATACATGACTTGACTCCAGTATCTCCTGCTCAGAGAAGTCTTCCCTGATCACTTGACTTAAGTAATCCCCATTCCAACTAATTGCTCTGTCCCCACATGGCCTATGTCATGCTCTTGCTGTGTCATGTGTGTTGTTTGTCTCCCCCAGTGAACTGTGTAAGCACCATGAGAGCTGGCACCAAGCATAGCTCGCTCCTGGTGCACAGTAGGTTCTCAGAGTGTACCTGAAGTTCCAAATCCCCCTGGAGGGTAACATGAGACCAGGAAGTAATGTGAAGGGTCAGCCAGCACTCACCTTTCCCCCTGGAGACTTCTGGCTGCCCAGGGGGAACAGGGGCCTCCAGAGTGGCCCAGTTCCATGATTTAGAAGCAGGAGGAAGGTTTGCATCCTTGGAGCTCTGAGCCTTTGTTTCTTTACCCTTTGGGGAGGGTTGAGGGGGATCCACCAGAGTTTTCCTCCAGGGGGACTCCATATCCGCCTGAAGCAAGTTATCGCTGTCCCTTGTTTGTGGGATTTTAGGTCCCAAAGGGCTCAGGCCAGCCACAGAGGGGGAAGAGGTGCTCGGTTCTCTCTGGAGAGGAGTGGTTGCTCCAATGCCACTTACAGGGACCACCGAGGACTCAGGCTGCTCCGCTTTGGCCACCTTCAAACAAACAGGGGAAGCTATGGGCTGGAGCTGGCCTCCCTTCCATGCCCCACAAAGCTTCAAGGAACGTGGCTGGAGTCTCAATCACTCCAATCTTGACCCACAGAGGCCAGGGAGCCCCTGAAAGGCAGAGACTGGGGGTTACAGAGAGGAACTTACCTTAGGCAGCCTCCCCCAGGCCCACTGCATGTGGGACTCAGCTCTCAAGGGACTGGATTCCAGTGTCCGCAGCTCCAACTCTGAGTCACTCTTAGGGAATATGAGCCCACCTGATGAGAGGCTGCAGGAAACATACTCAAAGACCTCCCTGTCCCAGTTAACCCACCCTTGGCCACCCAGCCCAGCCTGAGAGAAAAGTATGCACCGTATTTGTGTCTGTGTTAAACGCAAGATACACAAAGAAGTATAATGCTATAAACATTATATTAGAATTCCTATAAATCAAAAATAAGACAATCTAGTTTAAGAAAAAAAATGAGGGCGAGATGTGACTGCTTAATGAGCATAGGGTTTCCTTTGGGGGTGATGCAAACTTCTAGAACTCAATAGTAGTGGTGGTTGTACAATATCCTGACTGTCCTTAATGCCACTGAACTGAATACTTTGGACTGATTAAAACACTAAATTGTGTGTTATGTGTATATTACTTCAATTTTAAGAACCTGCAAAGGATTGACATTACAGAGAAATACAAATGGGCAGTAAACATAATAAGGGGTTCTAAGTCATTAGTCATCAGAAGGAGGCACTCAGACTTGGGTCTGGAGACCCAGCCTGCAGCCCATCTGGGCACTCACCTGTCCTGGGGGAGGCACTCGCCATCAGAGTAGGGGTAGATATCTTTGGACTGCAGTGAGGACTCCTCTTCCAACTGAGCACTGCTGAAGGACCACAAAGAAAGTTACCAACAGGGTAGGACACACCAGGCAGGGGACGGGAGTCTGGACAATCAGGGGCTTGGGGAGGTGAAGTGACCAAAGCCCAGAGTCATACAGCATTCACAGAAGAACCTGTACTTGCACCTCCAGGTTGCACCACAGCCTTCACCAGGTGCCTACTCACCCTGGGGACTCTGGCTTCAGCTTTCTCAGTGGGGACAATTCACCCTCAGCTCCAGCTTCCAGCTCCTCAGAACTAGACTCAGTTGCTACTGCATCTTCCTTTCGCCTGGATTTCTTCCTTCGACGCTTTTTCTTTCGCCCCACGATGACAAGGCCCTCAGGCTCACTGGCTGTGCCAAGCTGGGAGTCTGAGGGGAAGCCAGACAGGCCCCCCCAAGGGATGGGTGAGGTGCACAGGCGGGGGGGCACCTCCTCCTGTGGAGCAAGAAACAGCAGAGCTGAGGCGGATGCCACCACCTGCAGGCAACTTGAGGTCTACTAGAGGCCCAGGCCCTGCAGTAAACTCATTTAGAGTCAGGAGAACAGGTGTGGACACTGGGCAGAGGCATCAGCAGCATGGCCTTGTAGCCACAGCTCACCACAATGCTCCCTAAGAGAGTAAAGCAGCCCCAAACTCAGGGAGCCACCCACCACCCCAGAAGGCCAGCCAGAAACATGACTGTTGCCTCTCATCTCCTCCTTGGCCCAAGTCTTTTATAAATAATACCAATTTTTTAAAACTCTGCCTGATGTCACTTCCTCCCTGAAGCTTGCCCTGACTATTCTTAACCCCAATTCTAATTTCCTTCATTGCAGACACTAAGTAAGTCTATGACTTGTTTGCGTATCTATCTCTTATACTAGCCAGAAACTCTATTTGAAGGCAGGGGTCAGCCCTTGTCTGAGTCTGTTACATAATCTCTGGCATACAGCAGGGGCTTGACTGTACTTTGTAAGGTCAAACAGTTTCAGCTCGTCCACTGGCTTGTGCTGGGCCCTGCTTCTCCTTCACAGAAACCCTTCTTCATCCTCCACCCACGCACTTCTGTGTTCCGGTTGCACAGACCTTGCACCAGACCCAGACAAGGCATAAAGCCAGACTTTATGCCTCCCAGCCCCCAGCCATTCTTCATTGCCATTCTCCTCTGCAAGCTGCCCAGCCTCAGAGGGGGCCTCCTGGGTGTCCCTCAGGGGCCAGCTCAGATGCCCCCTCTTCGGAGACCTAGAAATAGTGCCAGCAGGGCCTCAAAGTCAGCCCCAGCTGATGCCCTTGCATCAGACCTCTCCCAATGGGGTACTTCCAAGGGTGGGAACAGTGACAAATCCCAAGGTCCCATGCAGAGGGGGAACCTGTGATGGGGCAGTTAAAGACTTGGATGGCAGCACTCACCTCATCGCTCTCCAGCTCCTGGACAAAGAAGGCCTCCCCATTTTCCCCCAGCTTCATGTGCAAGTCCACCGGCTCCCCATTGATCTCAATGTCTACCTGCAATGTGGAGGGAGATGCACGGTCCATCCGCAGGCCCCCATGCCTACGCTCTAGTCCACTGAAGACACAGCTCCTTGCTGCTCCAAGCTCTGCCCTGCTGAAACCTTCCAGTGCAGACCTTAGCACACCTGGCTGCTTGTCACTTGGTTTCCACATTCCTCTCCTCCCCATACCTCACAAGCACAGTGGCATGATCTATCTTGTTCCAGTCCTTAGGTTGTTAACCACATGCACAAAGGTGAGAATCACTGCTTACTGGGCACCCTGTGTGGGATTTTGCACAAATTATCTCTTTAATCTTCACAATGACCTCTTGCAGTCACTTCCGTTATTATCTCCATTTCATAGATGAGGAAGCCAAAGCTGGTGGGGAGGAGGTGTTCAACTATTTGTAAGGAAGTAGCCTCACAGCCAGGGAATCTAAGAACCCAGAAAACCTGAGTCTGCAGCCCAAACTCTCAACTTCTGAAGTACACTGTCTCCCATAGGCTACGCTTTCCTGTAAGCATTTTGAATAGTTCACAGTCACCTCAACATACAGGAGATGTGGGCCCATACACGGGACTGTGGGGCTAACAGAAATCTCTACTGTGTTCACCTGAGCCTGGTAAAGACCATGCGGGTTTACAAGGGAGAGGAACTAACCTTGGCATGTCCCCACATGTCTGGCCCTGAGACAGCATGATCAGTGTCCCTGTTTATTCTCCCAATCCATCCCACCATGATGAGGCGGTGAGAGCACATACATTTGCACAGGTGAAGCGACTGTGCTCAGAGCCATGAAGTGAGTTAAGAACAAGAGTGAGGTCTTAGTTAACGCAGCCAGGTCAGACGACTGTAGCACTTGGTCTGCCCCACCCGGCCTCTTCCACGGAAACATGGGGATCCTCCCAGGGGCCCACCCCCAGACTCCCAATGAAAATACAGAAGAGAAATTTGCTGGAAGGTCAGATGTCCACCTAAGAGAGGTGGGACAGAAGTAGACGTCCTGTTTTTAAAAGCCCACCTTGCAAAAGGGCCAGGTGTGATAGTGCATGCTAGAAATCCTACCACTCTGGGAGGAACTGCAGCGGAAAGTTGTAAATTCAAACCCAGCCTGGGCAATTTAATAACTTAGTAAGATCCTGTCTCTAAATGACAAAAATAAAAAGGTGCTGGGGATATAGCTCAGGGCAAAGGCCCTGGGTTCAATCCCCAGTATTGGCAAAAAACAAAAGTGAGGGGCTGGGGATTTAGCTCAGCGGCATAAGCGCCTGCCTTGCAAGCAGGCAGTCATGAGTTCGATCCCTGGTATCGATAAAAACGAAAAAGACAAAACAAAAACAAAAACAAAACTGAACTAAGCCACCATCTCACAGTGGCCACTTGGCCAGCCAGAGGACTCACCACCTTCTCCCGAGACCGCAGGACGCCCAGTTTGCCAAACCGGACATGGAAGGGCGAGCACCGGAAGGAGCCGTCCACTTGCTTCACCACCAGCACGTCAATGCCTCCGCTGAGTGTGGCAGGGTTCAGGCCCCGGTACAGCTCCTTCACCGTCCCGAACACCGTCTCTGCCAGCTGCCCCACATAGTTCATGGCTGGTTGTGGCAGAGAGAGGCAGCGCTGAAGACGAAGACTCCCCCTTAGAGGGCTCACCCTTCTGCAGCCTGGTCATCCAGACGCCACGGTTTATGCTGTATCCTGGCTGAGTAGAATGCCTCTGCGTACACAGCCGTGGGATGTGAGATGTTCCAAAGACAAAGGTCTAGCCCTGGCTCACCTACCGGCCTCCTGTGGGGCTGCTGGACAGCAGGTTTCCTTCTCCAACTGCTGATCCCCACATCTGTAAAAATAAAGGCACAAGGTATGACAATACCTGGGTGCCTGAGCTTCTAAATGCTGTGACTCACGGTAATGACTGTGGGGCTCAGAGGGCATGGCTCATTTAATCTGCACAACAACCCTGTGTGGCCACGCGAGTGGGTGTTATTACTCCTGTTTACAAGGGAGCCAGTTGAGGCTCCGAGAGGTGGAATGATGTGCCTAAGATCTCACATCTAGTGAGGGCAGGACCCAGGATTGAAGCCCAGGTCTCTGTGGTTCACATCCAGAGACTGGGGAGTGAAGCATTGGGATGATTCAAATTGTGGAGACAGCACAGTTTGGGCAAGGACGGGCCGTTCCATGAAAAATCAGCCCCAGGGCCCTGCTGGGTAATGAATGACAACCCTAAAGGAAGGGAGTAGGAGAGTGGCTCTGCTTGTCCATCTAGAAATGTGTTCTGCTGTCTTGTTGTCTTCTAGTTCTGGGGGTTGGAAGGAGACTTGCTGAGCCATTGTGGCTAATCTGTGAGGGATCAGGAGTGGGGGTACCCCGTGGAGCTAAGCCCCCACTCAGCCCTACTTCTGGGTCAGATGCCAAGACAGAACATCTCCGACAGCTGGGAGAACAAGGCTCCAAACTCCAAGTTCCTTTTTAGTTTTCCTGGTGGGATCATGTCCACAGCCTGAACCCAGGATCTTCAGGCCATAGTTCTCAGTTTGGACCAAGACTCAGCCAGGAAGTCCCTGAACCCACACTAAGGGCTTGGACAGAAGCTGCTTCTTTCCCAACCAGACTGGTCCTTCCAGCTCTCCCACATCAAGCAGGGCTGGGTGAAGCAGAAGCAGGCGACTGTGGCAGCACTGGAGCCAGGCTATAATAAGAGCGCCCTCCAAGCTGGCATGGTGCCCCACGTGGGTTCATCATTCCTGCCTTGGTGTCCAGGCCAGTGACTTGCTGCACCTTTGGACATCAGAACTATCCCAAGTCCACAGGGCACGTCCTCTCTCAGGCCTTGTATCATCAGAATCACTGAAGGACACAGCCTGCCATGTAAGATCACCTCTCAAAGTAGCTAAATCACCTTCACAACAATAAGTGGTTTATCCAAGCTCTATTAAGCTAATAAGGCCCAGATGTGTTTGTGTTATGCATGTGTGTTGGTGACTCATGTCTAGGTCTGTTGACTCCATACCATTGGTTCCTATAGTCTATGGTCCCCAAATCACACAACAGCTGTCTAGAGAGGGCAGCCCAGCCCACAGCCTTCTTTGTGATGCCTTGGTCCGCAATTCGGTCCATGGTCCAGCGGCATCAGTATCTTCCCCAGAAACCTGTTAGAAGTATAGAAACTTGGACCTAACACAACCTCCCTGAGTACACATCTGAATTGTCACAAGATCCTCAGATGCTGCTGTACCCTTTAATGTTTGAGAAAAACTGTCTTAGTGTTCACAGTCCAAAGCGTACTCTCAGAAGAGTCTGAATGACCTACTCAGGCAATGCTGCTACCCTTCCTGTCCTGGGATGGCAAACCAAACAGTGCATTCCTTCAGTCCAGGCCAGAACTTCATAAGCAATCTGAACTGCTGAAGTGACAGGGAAGTAAAATGAAACTCTTCAAAGTCTACAGTCATCTTGACATAAAGATTTGAGCCCGTGTGTCCCAATATCCTAAGACATAATCCTTAACGTGTCACTCAGATTCAGTAATTATTTCATCTGTGAGTCACCTACTTACTGTGTGCTGCAAGCTTCCAGAGACAAAAGCGCTCTGCCTGGACTCCATGGGAAAGGCAGAGCAGAGCCAGGATCTTGGCAAGCAGAGGCCCGTGTCTGAGCTGTCTGCCCTGCTGAGGGATGAAAGGCTGGAGTGAAGAGGATGGCGGCAGGGCCAGCTTGCTCTAGTGATCTCTCAGCTTCAGCACTGCTACCACTTGGTGCTGGAAAATTCTTCGTTGTGGGCTGCTGTGCAGGGTGCATCCCTGGCCTCTTCCCACTAGATACCAGAAGCACCTCCGATCCCCTACTCCAGATTGTGACAACTGAATTGCCTCCAAGCATTATAAATGTTACCAGGGGGGCAACATTGCCCCTGGTGGAGAACCACTGATCCACTAGAGATAACGTCAGAGATGGGCACCTAGGGGACTCGGATCCACTCATTAGTTTCTCAGGCAAGTAACTTGCTGGTCTTAAGTTTCCTTTCTATGAAACAGACCTCAATTGACACTGTTTTTAGCTCAAATGTCCTAGGAGTCTAGAATTCTTTCCTCTTTCTGTTCCCCTCTCCCACAAGTGGGATTTTCCACCTCACCTGCCTGCTCCACATTTCGGACTCCTCCTCTCTACCTCTACCCACCCTGGAGGACACATTCTTTTCCCTGGGCTCAGCTGTCTCCTCTTCCTCCTCCTCCTCTGTCTTCACCAGATGAGAAACTCTGTTGGCTCCCTTCCAAGGAACAAGTCTAAAATCAACACTTGATCGTTGTCCCCTGGAAGCCCAGACCAGAGCTTACTGGTTCCCTGCCCTTCTAGATCCTCTGCTCTTAGCCTCCTTTCTTCCTGCTGTCCCAGTTCAGAGCCTTGTTACCAGGTCCCCAGACCATGGGTTGCTGCAGGGCATAGAGTCAGGACACAAGACAGCCTGGATTCTAATCTGTATTATGCCAGATACTAGCTGAGACTTTGGACCAGTCACCTCACCTCTCTGAGTCTTATTTTCAGTCTTCGTTGGTGATTTTATTGAGTATATGTGAGTAATGAGATCATTTGTATAAAACTCCGCTGTGTAATGAATGCCCATGTGTCACCTAGCAGGAGCAGAAGCATCTTTTGGGGCATCATGGCAGCCCCACCCCCAGGCTGGCCCTGAGGGCCCTGGTCTCTGATGCACTCACTGTCCCTGTTAGTCATTGCTCTGCACAACCGTGGCCCCACTATTTGCAACATGAGCAGGTGGGCTCCAGGCAGGTCTTTCAGGGTGCCTTGTCCAAGCCTCAACCTCCACTCAGCACATATCTGCAGGCCTCCCAAGGTGGTTCACAGCTCTACCACTGGGAGCCAGAACAACTGCCGTAGATGGGTTTTCAACCCTTCTGGGCCTCAGATTTGAGAGGTCCAGATGGGTTAGGTTGGATAACCACTTTTAAGGAACACCACCCCAGCTCTCCAGATGATTCCCGGGGTCTCAAGGCCGTCTGGGAAAGGGTCAGACCCTGCGCTGCAACGGAGGACGGAATACCAGAGAGGTAGTGTTCTCCAAGGTCACACAGACGCCCTGGGGGAAAGCTGGGCCAGTCTCCACTTAGGCACCTCCTCTCTGGATTCCACGTTCTGCCCGCCTTTGGGCCGCGGAAGGAAAGGCAGGAAGTCGGCCCCTCCACCCTGGCGTTCCCAGCTGACGGCTACAATGCACTTGGACCCACGACCACACAGAAAGGAAGTTCAGTGGCGGGGGAGATGGACACGGCGGGAGGGGTCAGGGTCACCAGTTCCCTGGCCCAGGCCGGGCCCTACCTGGGAGGCTGCCCGCCGGATCCAGACGCGGAGCGGCCGCCTCTACCTGTGCGCACGGCTCCGACAGGTGAGCGCGCTGGGCCAGCGCTTCCGCCTCCCCCGGGACTGGGTGAGCGCTCGGCTCCGCCCCTTCCACCAGCAGGGTGGAACCCGCCCAGGTCCCAGCCCACCCGGAAAAGGCCCCGCCCCGCCCGCCTCCGCGCCCAAGGCCGGAGACCCGGACCCGCAGGGCTGCTACAGGTGCGGCGTCCCTGCGGGTACCCCCCTGCTCCCCTGCCGGGCGGCCGGGCGGAGGCACTCTGCAATCCAGCAGACCTAAATCCTCCTGAATTTGCTTCCAGCTCGCTCTGTGACCTTGGGGCAAATCCTTTCTCCAATCTGAGCCCGTTTCCTGCTTTGTTAGAGGGGCGACCACCTTGCATGGTGTTCAAGTTGACATGAAAAAGACTTGGGAGGTGCGTGGCGCTCCAATTTCCCGTTCAGGGACAGCTTTCTTTCTGGACAATCATGCTCACAGCCCATGGTTGTAATTCCGTATTTACGTGAGAGACTGATTAATATCAGTCTCTTAAAATTTTAATTGATTTAGTTGATTGACTTTTTTGCGGTGGTAAGGCTGGAACCCGGGGCTGCACGCATGTTAACTAGCGCTCGATCACTGAGCTACATCCCCAGCCCTGAATATCTTCTTATTTATTTGAATTTGAACGCCGTAAGAGCAAATCACGGTCATGCTTATGCTCCAAGGCTCAGCACAATGTCTGTCATACAGCAGGCGCGCAATAAATGCCTTGCTCCCCGTTCCTTTCTCCCCACTCTTCGGTCTAATCCCAGCGTGAGCTCAGTACCACCTCTGACCAGCAGAGGGCAGACGGTGACCGGCCTTCTCACCCAGTCCGTCAAGCGTTGTTTTCTAGCTTAGCTCAGGGATGTGCGCCCCATGAGCGCAGGGCTGGGCCTCAGATGGGAAGATCTGCCGCCTCTTGCATCGCCGGCGAGGACTAGAGCACGGAATGGCTTTTCCCTTTGGATCTGTGGTTCTCAGTCTTCTCTGGATCGAAGACCTCCCTGACAACCTCTGAAGATGTTCAGCTGCTGTAGACCTATACTGAGACAGATTAGAGGTGAAGGAGTTTACGGAACGAGGACACTGAGAAGGGTGGTGCGGAAAAGCCAGGTATAAAAAAAATACGGTAGGAGCCTGCGTTGTGGTTAATGCTTACAATGCCAGCGTTCTGGGAAGCTGAGGCAGGAGAACTGCAAGTGTGAGTCTAGCCTGTGCAAACTTAGGGATTTAGCAAGACCCTGTCTCAAAATACAAAATAGAAAAGGGCTGGGGGGGTAGCTCAGTGCAGAGTCCCCAGGTTCAATAGACATGCTGGACAGAGAGGCAGGGAGAGAGAGGAGGAGAAAGAAAAAGAGGAATAAGGGCTGGGAGAGAAGGAGGGACAGGGCAAGGGAGGGGAAGGGAAAGTAGTTGTGAGAAGTGAGAGGCCGCCATCATTTTTCTGTGACTCAAAGTACCTGAGCTTGTTTGGAAGTGATTGACCTCAGTTAGCCTCAGGTTAGTACCCGTCTTGAACCCGGTGTCCAGTTAGTACCACAAAACAGCATCGCCAGGAAGCACAGCAGTCTCAAGGTGCTCTGAGGGGTTTGCATGTCTCCGACAGTCTTATATATAACCACTGCTGCGACAGTAAAACTTGCAAACATCAGGAATTTCCCGAAGGAACCTGAGAGGGAAGGAAGGAGACGGTCGCAGCGGGGAGCTGCAGCTGCCAGAGTCCATCTACCTGTTGAGCCTCAATTTCATCTGCAAAATGCTGATAAAACTTACCTTGCTGGATTTTGCTGTGAGGAATTACAGCATAAATTAAATCAATAGTTCTGTCATTGCTGTCTGGACTGATGATCAGGGTACTGGAATTTAAACTCTCCAGATGGTTGTAATGTGTAGTCAAGGCTGAAAACCATGGAGCTAAATAAAATGGTGCACAGCACAGTAGGTCTGCAATGATGTTTGTCACACTTTTTAGTTTGCTTAGAGGCAGGATCTTATTTTACTGCTCCAGCTGACCTCAGACTCCTGAGTTGAGCTACATAATCTCCCGCTTCAGCCTCTTGAGTAACTGAAATTAGGAATGTGTGCCACTATGCCTGGCTTTATCTCAGTTTTAATGATGGAGCACAAATTGTTCTTTGTTAGGGGGAAAAGTTGATCTAAAGATTGTTGCAGAAATTGGATTTCCTCCTGTCTTGTTTCCAGAACTGTAAATCATAGGGTCAGAGATGGGCAGAGGCAATCCCTGGTAGTACGCCTTGTTCTAACACCCAGCTGAACTGAACAAGCAGAGACTGTCCCCTAGCTTGTGATTTACCTCATCGTCTCTGAGGCATCCTTCAAGTGTGCAACTGTCATGGTTGCTGTTTGCCCCATTTCTTGAGCTAAAAGAGGAGGCCAGTTTTTCCTCTTCTGGGTACACACCCTAGCTGGGCCTGTGCCACTGACAGCTGTTGGTTTCTCATTAATCCAGAGTGGAAGTGATACTTCCTTCTTTATGGAACTTTGCAGCTTGTGTGTCCCACCCCCTGCTTTCGTGCTGGCTGACCTGGCATGTGGCGAGTAGACCCTCACACCCAGGCTCATGGCTGTGATCATTTGTCCTCAGAAGCAAGACTGGCTTCTGGAAGCATCTCTTTGACCACTGCTGGTGGCCTCGATTAATGTGGGAAGGAACATAACAGACACTGGGGTTGTCTCCCAGCGCATGCATATGTGGGGGACGGGAGGCAAGCAACTGGTGTGCATAGAATTGCCAGGGTTTACAGATAGATCTGTTGCCTCTTGCACCACTGGCTAGGTCTGGACCATAGGTTTTTGAAGAATTCAGATAATGCCAATGAAGAACTCAGTATGTTGCCTGCACAAAAAGAAAAACCAATTAAATTTGAATTTCAGATACACAACACATGGTTTTTAGTATAAGTACGTCCCACACAATCTTTAGGACACACCACAAAAATGATGCATTATTCATCTGAAATTAAGATTTCACTGGATATCTTTTCCTTTCAGTTGCTAAATCTGGCAAAGCTATGTCTGTCCAAACAGGCAAATCTCCAGGACATGGCACTCGCCGTCCGTAATGGCCTCCCGCCCGACTTCCACCTGTCACTGTGCAGCTCCAAAACTCTTCATGGCTCCCGGCTGCTTCCACAGTGCAACTCAGATTCCCTCGCTGCTGTGCTGGGTCTCAGCTCTTCTTACCAGCCCAGCTGACCAGCTTGGCCTCCCTGCACTTTACTCCTGACCTTGTTTACCATACTTGGAATGTCTCCTGCCCGCTACCAAGCCGAGTTCTTCATTTGCATTGTGGCTTTAAATTCTCCAAAACCCAGAAGAGGGGGATCAGCAAATATTCTCATTTTACTCAAAAAGAGACTGATGCTCTAAGACAGTGATTATTTATTTATTTATTGCAGTGCTGGGGATGGAACCCAGGGTCTCCCAATGTTCCATAACTGAACCACTGAGCAACATTTCCAATCCTGACAGTGATCCCTAAAATGTGGCCCTTAGAGGAGCAGTAGTAACAATACCTGCAAACTTGTTAAAGCAAATATTCTCGGGCCCCAGGCCTAATTTGTGGAGTCAGAGACCCCGGGGGTGTGGTGGGGTGGCAGTGTTTTATAAATCCCTCTTTTTGCTCTCCTCAGGTGATTCTGATGCTCTAGTTTGAGATCCATTGCTCTAAGAAGCCAAGCAACCCCAGGAGTCTCACCCCCCTTATAGCAGAGGAAGAGAGATGGGAGAAGCCTACAGGCAGATTCTGATCTTATTGATACCATGCCTGGAGTCACACTGGGCATGTCCCAGGGACCCTACTTTCTCTCTCTGTTTATGGTGCTGAGGATTGAACCATTTCCCATTGAGCTGCATCCCCACCTTTTTAAAAAAATTATTTTCGGGGCTGGGGATTTAGCTCAGCAGCATAAGCACCTGCCTTGCAAGCAGGCAGTTGTGAGTTCGATCCCCGGTACCCATAAAAAAAAAAAAAAGGAAAAAGACAAAAAAATATTATTTTTTAGATCTGTCTAAGTCACTGATTCTAGGCTCAATTTGTAATCCTCCTGCATTAGCCTCCTAGAGTACTGGGGTTACAGGCATGCACCAGCACACCCAGCAGGGATCCCACAGTTTGGAGAGGCCCACAGGGGAAGAACAGACACCAATCAGGCAATTTTGTTGTAAACTGGTGAAGGCTGAGCTAGAGAAAGGCCAAGAGCCATACAAAAGGACATAGAAAGCTTTCCCAAGTAGACAGGTGAACAGAGCAAGGTGGAATTAGATGGAAGTGGGCGGGTGGTGTTCCAGTTGCTGGAAGTTGTTTGTACCACGGCTGTGCAGAGCCACTTGGAAGAGGTTTACTATTGGAGTTGGAGCTACGTGAGAGTGTTTTGTGGAGTGCCCTGCTCTCAGAGCAAATGAGGTCCGTTGGTATCCAGAAAAAGCCTTCTGGGTTCCAGTAGAAGTAAGCCCTGGAGAAGATGAATAGTGGTGGTGAGGGGAGAGCCAGGGGGCGCCAAGCTTTCCCTCTCCCTTAGATCAAGATAGCTTCTACCCTCCGGGGCATCTATAGAGAATTAACCACCAAGTGCATTGTGGGCAGATAGACCAGCACTTTGCAATTAGGGGAGAGGTGAGGATGGAGGAAGGAAGCCCCTTGTGATCCCCCGCCCCTAGCTGGAGAGGGTTCTTGCCTGGGCTGCTATCTGGGTTGCTTTTGCCACAGCTGTGCAGCCCCTGAGGACCTCTTCTCCCAGCCCTTTTGGGATTGGCCCAGGCTGTGATTACCGATCTTCTACTTGTAGTACAGGAGACTTCTGCTGCCAAAGAAACCTTTGCTGCCAGCTGAGGCCTGACCGGGCTTGGCCAGATTGCTTTACTAGTGCGGTAGGGGGCTGGGCAGTTCCAGCCTCTAAATGCCCTTCCCGGAAAGACAGGAGAATGCCGAGCCTTTTTGGAATTCATTTGTGATTCCTAGTCTAGAGAGGAATGCTGAAAGATCATTAACCACTGTATGAAGTAGAACTTTCTGTGTCCTAAAAGTTCTTTCAGGGCTTAGCAAATGTTCCTCACCTCCCA